AAAATTTCGTTTCTCATTTAGTTTTCTAAACTTTTGCATCTAATTGCATCTCTCTTTAAGAAAAAATAGGTTTAAAGATAAAAAATCGACTACTAAAGCTTGTTGTTTTATTACATATTACAAAAAAAAAATTTTATAAAGCATGACGATTTTTTACTAATTAAAGTACTCTAAAAATTACAATTGACTGTATAAAAAAATAATTGTCACCAATCATATTTATTCTAATTTCAGCCAATAAAAACGAACTTCTGCTATGCTTTTATTGCCTGATAAACATTTATATTATTACATAGATTATTTCCTGAAGCTAATATAACAATATTTGGTTGTGGTAAATTACATCCTATTGGAATTTTTTTTTAAATTCTGATTTTATATTATTAATATCATAATCTAACTAGTTATTTTCAACAAATGAGCAAAATATTTTTTCAAGATTTTGTATTTGCTTATCAATAAATATTGATCGTCCAATATGAAAGGTTAGTAATTCAGTATTGTTTGATTTTATTATATTTGATATAGCTTGTGGAAATTAATATTGCCATACTATTCGAAGTATTATATGAGCTGTTTTTTATGTTACATTATAAATATTATTATAACTAAATATACTTTCTTGTAAATTCACCATACAAATATTTTATATATTTTCTCCTACTCATAATTTTTCAAATATATTAGCTTTTTTATGTTGTCATTTTTCTAATTATTTTTTATATCAATTAGTATGTGCTACTATACCAGCCATACATAATATTGTGTATAATGATGTATACAATCTAGGCTTTTGATACAGTGAACTAAGAATATGAGTGAACCAAACATTTAGCTCCAGAAAAGTAATTGATAATAATACAGATACAAAAAAGAAGCTATTTTTTTAGCACATGCATCATCATAATTTTTATTCAAAACTTCTCTTTATTTTTGCTTTTTACTACAACTTTCTATTTATTTTGTTGTATAGTATTTATTAAACCATAAAAAAACTTTGAAAACACTAATAGAAATCTATTCTGATACTCTATTAAAGAACTAGGCATCTCTAATTTTCTTTATTGGCCTAAATTTCTGGTCTAGAATGGCAAAATAAATTTGCTAAAGCTTCACTATTTGTATCAGATATTTTTTATTGTATTACAAAGTATCTTATTAGTTAAAAATTTTTTAATATTTACTTTTTTCAATCTAAATGCAATTTTTATTTCTAAAAAGCTTAACAGAGTTATTTTTATTTTTAGTTATATTATTTTCTGATTTTTCATCACTAATATTTTCTTCTTTATTAGATTTGGCTAATTTTAACTTCTCAAAAAAAGCTATAATTTCTCTAAAAATTTCATCAAGAAGAATATGTTGAATATTTTTTTCATCAAATTCGGATATATTATTTATCCATTTGGCTAAAAATTGAAGAGACTTTGAAGAATTATTATAATGTTGATCTGTACAATCAAAAGGTAAAACAACACCTTGTCCTCTTTGTTCAAATAAATATCTACCTTTAGACATAAAACATAATATGCAAATATATTGTATACGTTTAATACTAGTAGACTGTTTAACAAAATCATTATTTTGAAATACAAAGCAAATCTTTAATCCATTACATACTATTTGTATATTTTGATCACATAATTTCCATAAGTATTCTGAGCAATAACCTTGACTAAATATATATCTGTTATATCCACAAAATAAACACTTTTTTTCAAGAAATTTTTGCCTTGTCAATGCTAACTTCACTTTTTTAACAACCATGTAATTGTTTATTATTATAATTGAAATAATTTGTACAAATTTCTAATGAATGTATTTCATCTTTATTTATTTTAAAATTTTATTTACTGCTTCAAAGTCTAATTCCAAATTCCACCAAGTTGCCTTAACAGTTTAGATATAGATTAAGTGCATCATTGTGATGTTCTATTAAGATCATTTATTAAAATACATATGCTATTTATATATTTAGTACACAAAGAATTAAGCTTTATATCTAGTTTATTTTCTTGATAATTATAGATATTCCACAATGATTCTTCATTAGATATCATGTCAAGATCTGATACTAACCAATTAATATCAGTCTCTTGATTCTGTTTTTGTATTACTTGTGATAATGAATTGGCATACAATTTAGCTATCACCATGGCTGTTTTGTCAAAATGAATATTATATAAACTATCATATATATTATTATCTACATTGCTTGTACTACATGTAGATTAAGAAGGTGCAGTTGTAGTTTTCTGCTTGAGACTTTCTGAATTATCTCCAATACTGATATCATCAAGAATTTCAAAATCTTTATCAGGATCATTATATAAAACCTTGCCAGAAAGGTTCTTATTACTCAAAAATAGGTTATTTATTAGAATATTAAATTTTGCAAAGTATAAAAATTGGTCTTTGAATTATTTATTCAAAAAAATTAAATATCATATATAGTAATTATAAAGAACTTAACTGTTTAAAGATAGTTTATTCAAAATTGATTATTTTAAAGAAAATAATAATATTAATATGTAAAAGATTACTTTTTTTTAAAGATGATAATAGTATATAGAAATTAACCACCCAAATTTGTTACTTTTTTTTAAAAAAAGATAGTATATAAAATTTGACTATCCAAATTGTTCATTCAAATGTTTAAAGAATAACAAAAAAACCCCAAACATTATAATTATAAAGAATTGAACTGTTTGACTATTTGTTCAAATAATAATTATTTATAAAATACTCAATGTCTTTTAACTTCTATATACATGTAATAAACCTACAATAAAGAAAAAAATATAAAATATAAGTAAAAAATTCAATCAAACTCTTGTATAACATATTTACAACTTTTTCACTTCAATTCAAGATTCTTTAAAGGCTAGACCTTCTACAAACAACAACTTTGCAAAATATTCAAACAAAAGACTAAAACTTACACTTTTAATAAATGCAGTAATAAATGTTTTAACAAAAAAATAAATAAAAGCTTTCTCTTGAAGAGAAAAAAGCAGTGTAATTCATATGAAATCTGCGATATATACAAAAAAAAATTATATATATGGGTACAGAACAGGGATGGTAAATGACCTGGTCATTTTCCCAAAATTTAAATGACCTAGTTATTTGAATAAATGACCTAGTTATTTGGATAAATGACCCAGGTCATTTGGTTATTAGTCATTTGGGTCATTTGCATATGAAGTAATTTTATTGGTCAGATAACTAATATAAAAAGTTATTAAATACTATGATTTCACTAAACTATAATAGTAACTACATATAAATGTCAAAACTTTATTAAGTTTATCGATATTTCATCTTAAGTAAAGTTGTTTAGAAGAACGAATCGCATATACTGTATCTTGAAATTTTTATATAATTCGTATAGCTTTTTATTATATTAATCTTCAGAACAACTTTACTTAAGACATAAATATCAATTAACATAGTAAAGTTTTGACTTCTGCAATTATTATAAAAACTACTTTTTGTCTAATAATTAATTTTAATTGGCTAAAGGGCATTAGATTATCAGTTAACAATGTTAAATGACCCTCTATGGCTCATTTAAATGTGAAATGACCCAATGACTAGTCACTAGTCATTTGGGTTATTTGGGTCATTTCAGGTCATTTACCATCCCTGGTACAGAACCCCCCTGCAGTGTGACATATCCCTGATCAATAGGTGTTATAATTAAGATAGTAAGCTAAGTAAGAAGTAAATAGTTCATAGTAAATACTTAATAGACCATAAATAATTACTAAACTTAGAAACTAAGGATGGCTCTCAATGTGATTAGCTAGCTATTGAGATCATGTATAAGTACTATGATTAATTGAAGCTGTAATTTTGCTAAAAATTCATATTGCAAAATGTGGATAATAAATTTTAGTCAATCAAAACAAGTCTACAACAAAAAAAAATGGGTTCTACCTTTTTTTTCATTGCGATAACGAACCTACTTACTGGTTAAGCTTCAACCTATTAATTTATGTGTTTGAGAGAACCTTAAATCATTATGAATAAAATTTAAACAAAAAGTAATTAATATATAGATTGCTAATACTGAATTTAATTAATTAAATAATAAAATGTTTTGAAGGGTTTTATCACTAAATCTCAAAAACCATTTTCCCGAAAGAACATAATACCAAATAAATTGGCCAGCATTATAACTAATGCCGGCTAACTTTGTCGGTACTAGGAATCTGTCTTTTGAGATTTTGTAGTAAATCCGTTCTAAAAATACTTATAAAATATCATGTGAAAATGACACATATGATGAAAAGTTTTTTATTTACCACTTTCAGCCTATTAAAGATTTTAATATGTATATCGATACAACTCTCATCCCGAAAAATTAATAATTTGCAACAGGGTCATTCCACCATCAATATTTATGACTAGCTTAAAATGCATATGATATCGCATAATATAATTTTTTTTGATTTTATATTTTTCTCCGGAAAATATTGGATATTTGCCAAAATTTTTCCCCGACCTTTCACATCTTTATGCTCATTCATTTTTTTTTCGGAATTTACAAAACTTTTGCATTTCTATTTCTTAATTTTGCCTGGCATTATACACCTTGGCCTAAATTAAATATACTTTAATTTTCTTATATAAAATTTAGATGAGATAAAATGTGCATGATTCTGAAACATGTGCATAAATGTGCATGATTGAGGAATCATGCGCACACAAGAAACCCATCTCTAGTCATGGCTCACACTGACCACAAATAAAAAGTACCACGTCTCAATACGAAGGTGTTGTGAACCTCTTGGCACTATCCACAAAACCATAATCACTACGGTCATTTCTTTGATACTCCAAGTATGTAAACTTTCGTACCTATTGTGCAGTAACTCTTCAATTTATGATTTAATTCTTGCACATTATTGTTGAATCATGAATCACTTTAGGTGCAACTTCCTTCCATCTATTAATAATTTCGTCATACCATGTTACTAATGAATCCCCCGTTTCCTTTTCCCCTAAGATCCTCGAATTTATCATTATCAATCCAAGACAATCTAAATCTCTCATCATCTAGTTTCTCTTAACTTCTGGATGATATAATCTGGCGATTTATCTCTGCTCCAATTACATAACAATTACTAACATCTATTCATCATGTCCGAATTTCCTAACTCAACTGCTTTCACATAATGTTCAAAAGCCTTCTTTTCATCTTTTAACACCAATACCGTGATGATTTAGTGTAGCAAAATATATGAAGCTGTTTAAAGTCCATTGCTTAAAGCTTGTATTCACAAGTTACAAAGCCTTACAGCACAAGTAATTTCACCTAAACAATGTAGGTTAGTTTTCCTTCGCAGCCCTCACTGACTACAAATTAAGATGCCGATAACTCAATAATAGAATACCAATGTCTCAATACGAAGGTTAGTCTTTCTTCGCAGCCCTTACTGACCATGATTGAAAGTAATTACATTAGGAGCAGGATCAATAAGAAGGTTGGTCTTTCTTTGCAGCCCTCACTGACTATGAATAAAAGTATTATAAGTTAAGAGCATTATACCAATGTCTCAATACGAAGGTAATATAAGATAACACCCGACCTTGTCTTTTTCTTTCCTTCCTGCGCAGTACTTATTTACATTTCAGTACTACGCGACTTATAGCTCATCTGAATAGAAAAGGTCGATAAAACACCAGTCTAGCTCCTGATCTACCGATAATTTTAATACAGTTTTACCATTTGATAGGATTTGCTCAAATGCTCTTTGCCCGCTCAAAATCTTTGTAGCGAAAACTCCAAGGCTGTAAATATCTGATGCTTGAATGTCTAATCAACTCATCATAATCTCAGGTGCTACATATGATAGAATTCCACAAAATTTTCCTTCCTTTACTCTTTAGAGATCCCAAGATATGTGATATATGCATTTTGTAACTCAAGCTGCAGAACATTTCCACTGTGTAAATCTCTGTGTAAATCTCTATGAATGAGTTTCTGTGAATGGATCGACTCAGGATCCAATGCTATACCGTATAAGATCCTAATTGTGCTACTTGTACAAGATTTTGTCGTAAAGAGCTTCTTGATGCACACTCCATAACAATAATATAATCAGCATTATTTCTTGATACTTCCCTACACCCTAAGAATGAAGGATTCTCATCCAATTTCAGTGAACTTTCAGTTCTTGGATAAATCTATGTCAGGAACGTTTATTTCGGGTTCGTCTAAGGCCTTGGCAAAGAAAGAATTCTCAGAAAAGCAGAATTTTTAAAAAGATTGCGATAATAATATGGTAAATATTCTCAGAAAAGAATTGGAAGAAAATCAAAAGGAGCAACTAAAATATTTGGTCCTCATCTTATTGCTAGGAGCAGGATTTTACTTTTTCGTTTATTTACTCAACCAACAAAGAAAACAATTAGAAATGCAAATTATAGAAACCATTACTCTTGCTCATTTTTGTTTGAACCACAAATCGCTTTTAAGCGCACAAGTATAGATGCTGGTGGAATTAATTTCACCAATTTCACCAATTCACCACCAATTTCACCAATAGTGGTGAAATTATTTCACCACATTTCACCATATTTCACTAGCATCTATACGCACAAGTTTCCTACATACTATTGATTCTATCGAACCAGCGTGTATGATATACAGTTGCAAACAAACCCCTTCCCAATTTCCTTGATATCTCTGAACTTATTATAATTAATCCAAGGTACTTTAAATCTCTCAAGAGGATTAATATGTTCTGGGATTTATTGGTTTCAAAAGACTTCTGTATTTTCTGAACCAATAATTTGAGCTCTGGATATCTCTCTTTGTACTGATACCGTCTTGATAATATTGAGCAACGTTGTTCATTACTGGATTACAACCTATATTAGAAGACTTTTTATAGTATTCAAATGCTTTATTATAATCTTGATCAACACCACATCTATATTTATATTCGTAGCGAACACCAACACAACGCATACTATTATTTATCGCAATTGGGTTTCCTAACTCAGCTGATCCCATATAATGTTCGAAAGCCTTCTTTTCGTCTTTGAATTTATCCATTGAGCTTGGACTGGAAGTTCTTCCGCCAATGCTTCACAAAGGCGTACGTACATGTTGTACTGACTTGGTTCTCTTAACTGATGTTTTATTCCATTTTGTCCACGGGATTTCAACGAACTTTTTGGTAAGCAAGACTTTCGTCATACCCAGGTTCTTTTGTCACAACTGTAGGTGGTCATGATATACTGTCGCGGCGGTTGCTGATCCACGAGGCACTTCGTCTTTTCTTTTTCGAATTCGTTCACCTCACTTATCCACTGAGATGGTGTATCGTTTGGTGCTTCCTTATGTGCCCCGCCACGCATACAAGAGTCGTAACCATCTATAAATAAGTTACATTATGCGTTATTACGTCATTTTATCAGCAAAAGGTTCCTTATATACTTAACATTCGATCTAAATTAATTACATCATAATTAATCACATGATAGCTAACTTTACTTCAATCACATAATTAATTAATCATCCGATACTTACCTTTACTTCAATTACATATTTCTTATGTGCCGATTGATCGGTTACACGCATTAAACTATCGATTAGTAAATCCGAATCATGCCGCACGATAACGTCATAGATCCCGTTGTACAATTCTAGGATCAATTTTCTACCTTAGAACTGCTTGTGGCCATGACAGTAGCTAGACCCTCTTGACTCTCGTCCCGAAGTCAACATCTCCTTCAATCGGTTCTACGCTTAAAAATCAATAATTTGCAACAGGGTCATTCCACCATCAAATATCTACGAATAGCTTTTCATCACCTAAGAATCCACTGCTCTCATCTGAGCTAGATTCCCCGAATCGTGTCTATCGCTCAAAATCATTAGTTGCAAGTTTTATTCAAATTATTAAGCACTATCAAATCATCGGCTATTGGCTGATAATTGTAGTCAATGCATGTCATCAAATGCTCTCTATCTGCTCGAATCTCTTATAGAAAGCCATGCAAATAAGCTTGCAAAATGTTTCCGCCGTGTAAATGAGCTACTGAGAATAAATTGACTCAAGATCCAAAGCCATATAGCACAAAATATTCAATTCATTTTTCTATTCTAATCGTAATACTTCTACAAGGTTCTGGCGTAACGATCTTTTGGTAAAATCCACAAACAATAATATAATCATCATAATTATTTATTGACACTCCCAAACAATTCAAGAACGAAGGATTTTCGTAACCAATTTCACAGTAATTCTTCATTTCCCGGATAAATTCTTTCAAATTTCTATTTGATTCATGAATGACGTTAAGTGCAACATCTCTCCACATATTATTAATCGAATCAACTCAACGTGCCCAGTATACAGTTGCGAATCCTCCATTTCCCAATTTCTGGATAATTGTGACTCATTGTAATCAATCCACGATAATTAAATCTCTCGTCGTCTAGTATTCTCTTAAATTCAGGATTGATATAATCCAGTGATTTACTAGTTCTCAAAAACTTTTATATTTTCGATCCAATCATTTGCACTCTGAATATTTTTTCACTGTACTGATATCGTTCCGATAAAATTGAGCAGTATTCTTCATCGCTTATATTCCATCAGCATTTTCTAAATCAACAGATCTCTTACAAATACTCACGCTTTCTGGTCATTTCTTTCTACTCCAATTCCATAATAACAATTCCTAACCATATCCATCGCACTTGAATCTCCTAATTCAGCTGCTCTCATATAATGTTCGAAGACCTTCTTTTCATCTTTTAACACCAATGCTACATTGATCAGAATTGCGAAATATACGACGCTCGTATTCACAAGTTACAAAACCTCATAGCACAAGTGCTTTAGCCTAACCAACGTCTCAATACGTAGGTTGGTCTTCCCTCTCAGCCCTCACTGACTACGAATGAAGCTACCGATAACTCGAGAATAGAAAACCAACATCTCGATAAGAAGGTTATTCTTTCCTCGCATCCCTCACTGACCACGAATGAAGCTACCGATAACTCGAAAATAGAAAACCAACGTCTCAATACGAATGAAGTTACCGATAACTTGAGAATAGAAAATCAACGTCTCAATACGAAGGTTATTCTTTCTCGCTGACCACGAATGAAAGTGTTACAAGTTAGAAGCAGGAAACCAACGTCTTAATAAGAAGGTAGCCTCAGATAGTTCATGACCTTATCTTTTCTTTCTTCCCTGTGTGGTACTGACTCACTTTTCTATCCATCATCTTTCTATTTCTTTCGGCAGGTTTCATATTCCCCTCGAGTGCCGTTTCTTCATTATAGTCCACACCCATGCTTTATCACAGTGACTAACTACATATGTACCATCAGTATTACTCTGTTTTGCTGATTTTCGATTGTAATTGGACATTCTCTTTTCGTCTTTGACTTATGTCATCCACTTTATTCAGTTTCATCAGGTTCATATCTCTTTTCTTTTCCCCTATTGTAACACACTTTCTGCGCCTCACTTGGTTCTTGATCTACCGATAATTCTTATACAGACCACTATCAACTGCTGTTTGCCCACTCGCAATCTTTATAGCAATAACTCCAAGACTATAGCACTCTGACGCTTGAGTATACGGTTGACCAACTAGAATCTCAGATGCTATATATGGTAAAATTCCACAAATTTTCCTTGCATTTTGTAAATCAAGTTGTAAAATGTTTCGCTGTGTAACTCTCTGTGGACGAGCCCCTGCGAATGAAATGATTCGAGATCCAAGACTTTACAGTACAAGATGTTCAATTTATCTTTCCATTCTGACTTCGATACTTGTACAAGATTTTGTCGTAAAGAGCCTTTTGACACAATAATATATCAGCATTATTTCTTGATACTCCCTACATCCTAAAAACGAAGGATTCTTGTATCCAATTTCACAATAACTCCTCAATTCGTGGATTAATTCTTGCACATTTTCGGTTGAATTACAAATCGCTTTAAGTGCGCCACTTTACCACACACTATTAATTCTATCGAACCAAAGAGCAAAAATATGCAGTTGCAAATCCATATTTTCCTATTTCTTTGAAGCCTCTGAACTCATTATAATTAATCCAAGATACTTTAAATCACATCAACTAATATTTTGTTAAGTTCAGAATTGATATGATCCGGTGATTTTATTAATTTCCAACTGACTTCTATATTCGAGTCAATAATTTGCTTTCCGAGCAACTCCTTTGCGCCGATACTGCTATGATAATTTCAACATTACTCTTATTATTCAGCTGATTTCATACAGTGTTCGAAACCTTCTTTTCAAATTTATCTCTTACATCTTGGACTGGCGTATCGTACAAGTTACTGTTCACAGCTCCCGACAAGACGTTGATCGGTCATTCTTTTCATATTTACCAAAGAACACACAACATTCTTTATAGCGAGCAAGACTTTCGTCTTACCCAGGTTCTTCTGTCGCTGCTGTTGCTGATCCACTAGGTACTTCATCTTTTTCTTTTTTCGAATTCGTTCACCTCGCTAGATGGTGTATCGTTAGGTGCTTCCTGCCACGCACACAAGAGTCGTAACCATCCATAACTAAGTTACATTATGCGTTTTTACGTCCTTTTATCAGCAAAAGGTTCCTTATATACTTAACATTCGATCTAGATTAATTACATCATAATTAATCACACGATAGACTTTACTTCAATTACATAATTAATTAATCATCCGATACTTATCTTTACTTCAATTACATATTTCTTATGCGCCTTGATCGATTATTGATTGATCGGTTACACGCATTAAACTATCGATTAGTAATAGTAAACCCGATTCCAGGATCAATTTTCTACCGTAGAACCGCTTGTGGCCGTGACATATACTTTTAATTTTTTCTTTTTTGAATTCGTTCACTCTGCTTATCTACTGAGATAGTGTATCGTTAGGTGCTTCCTTATATACTTAACATTCGATTCTAGATTAATTGCATCATAATTAATCATACGATACTTAACTTTTACTTCAATTGCATAAATAATTAATTATCCGATACTTATCTTTCTTAATCTCATGCGCCTTGATTGATTCTTGATTGATCATGGTTACACACATTTAACTAACCTGTTTGATAATACCGTAGAACAATTCCAGGACCAATTTCAAATCAACACGAATAAAAATTATTAAATGA